AAAAAAAAAAAAAAAAAGAAAGAAATAACGCTAAAACATTATTCTTTTTGAAAATGAATCCAGGCTGGAACGCACCAGGCTCTCCGGTGCGATCATGCGTTTCTGCATTAAACTCGCAGATCTCTATTAGCAAGAATGATCCCTACGTTGTAGCCTAACTTTGGCCCCTTCCGGCATGCAGGAGGAAGGGCGTCAGTTGGGATGAAGGTGATGCATTATAAAGTCGTTCGGACATCCAGGTGCATGATTACCGGTTTTTTGCATCTGTTTAAATGCTAATCACTCAAAAATAAAGGCTGTCTTTTGAATAATGGTAAGACTGTTAAGGTTCCAATTAATAATGCCTGTTTATTTTGACAGTTATTGGAATTGAACAGAACGAAGAAAATGTAGTTACCCGATAGCGATTTACAAAGGAATATCACAATAACGACGATAACAACAACGGTTTTCGGTGGTATTAAAGTAAATATAAAAAAATCCAACCTCAGATGATTGATAAGCGAATCTCTGAGTGCGATGTGGGTCGATGCTGGCAACTCCTTCATACTGTGCACCAATTTTTGTCGAATTGTTTGCGCAGCAAAATAACTCGCCGGCAAATCACGACGTTCTGTCAGTATACGATCACATATTGACCAGGCGTACAACTGAAATTGGACGGAAAATCCAAAAAAAAAAAACGAACAAAAAAGTGGAAGGTCAGAGGAACACGAAAAAGTCTACTTTTTAAGCTAAGGAAAGATAGCGTGCGGTTGCTTTTGGCAGTTGCGACCACTCGGATTACCTGCCAATTTGTTTCGCTTCTTAAAGACAAAAAAACGGAGAGGGTTTTGACTTTTAATATTATAATTTCCTATGAGCTGTGATTATTACCGATTTTTGGAATTCGCCAAGCCATTCGCTTGCCTTATGACATGCTGCGCTATCGGTTCCGTTCAGTAGCGCAATTGCCTGATACACCGTCTCGATATTATCCATTCCTGCAAAATGATAATAAACTCGCGAATATGGATGACAAATCTGCCTCGGATAAGACTGAGAAACCTACGAAATAATCGAGTAGGAGACACAAAACATCAATCTAAGCACCATATGCATGAAGACATTTTAATGGACTGAAACATTTTATCGCGACCCTAATAGTCGTTTTATTGGACTAGTGTATGCCCCGTCTGTATGGTGTATATGTGTAACACGCCGCGCCCTATATACATGTTTATTATACATAATAAAGGATAAGGCATAAAAAGTAGGTGAGGCTCTGGGAAGCCGAAGCCCCCAGAATAGGAGTAGTAGTATACAGAATAAGTAGGTTAGAATAAGTAAGTCGAAAGTGGCGATCCCGGCGATGGGAAGGAGTGCTTTTATAACCCAGAGGACAAAGATCGGAAGTTCAGTGAGGACAGGGCGGTTAAAGTTTGAACCAGAGACAGGGGTACTGCGTCCGAGTAACGCAGTTGGTCTTTAATCTATTTTTAACAAAAATCATTAATCACTATTTGATATATTACGCGATAATTTCTTACCATTATAATATTTTACTTTTACTAATTTCATAATATTATTTGTTATTGTCTTTTTTTTCAAACTTTAAAATATTTTCTTATTTTAAAATGCAGTCTAAGTTTCATCCCTTAGCTGTAAACAAACACACACACCAAACTCAATATGTGGGTAGGAGAGAACCACAACTTCGTATCCACTATGTATGTGGCATAAAAATCGAAAATTTCATAGAGGATGGGTGGAAGTTAAAAAAAGCTTTGTGTACTGGGGACAAGTGTGTTCCTAGCAATCTCATAAATTAGACTGAGAACCCTGGTAAATCTAATATTTCAAATTTCTTTTTTATAAAAAAAAACCCCCAATTTTCACCCCCCTCCCCCATTCAATATCTCATAAACACATGCAATTTTTGGTCATTCCCCCATCAACAATTTGACTTAATTACATTTAGCATGCTTCATT